TTATGGGAATTCTCAAAAACCAAGGCATGCATGGCTCAGGCATGCTTGGGAATGGAGTTGAGCGTATTGGCAATGCATGACTTGGCAATCTAGAGGAATCTCAGCAATCTCACCAGGCCCCAGCTGGTTTTTGAAAATTCTCAAAAACCAAGGCATGCATGGCTCAGGCATGCTTGGGAATGGAGTTGAGCGTATTGGCAATGCATGACTTGGCAATCTAGAGGAATCTCAGCAATCTCACCAGGCCCCAGCTGGTTTTTGGGAATTCTCAAAAACCAAGGCATGCATGGCTCAGGCATGCTTGGGAATGGAGTTGAGCGTATTGGCAATGCATGACTTGGCAATCTAGAGGAATCTCAGCAATCTCACCAGGCCCCAGCTGGTTTTTGAAAATTCTCAAAAACCAAGGCATGCATGGCTCAGGCATGCTTGGGAATGGAGTTGAGCGTATTGGCAATGCATGACTTGGCAATCTAGAGGAATCTCAGCAATCTCACCAGGCCCCAGCTGGTTTTTGGGAATTCTCAAAAACCAAGGCATGCATGGCTCAGGCATGCTTGGGAATGGAGTTGAGCGTATTGGCAATGCATGACTTGGCAATCTAGAGGAATCTCAGCAATCTCACCAGGCCCCAGCTGGTTTTTGGGAATTCTCAAAAACCAAGGCATGCATGGCTCAGGCATGCTTGGGAATGGAGTTGAGCGTATTGGCAATGCATGACTTGGCAATCTAGAGGAATCTCAGCAATCTCACCAGGCCCCAGCTGGTTTTTGAAAATTCTCAAAAACCAAGGCATGCATGGCTCAGGCATGCTTGGGAATGGAGTTGAGCGTATTGGCAATGCATGACTTGGCAATCTAGAGGAACCTCACCAATCTCACCAGCCCACAGTGGTGGCGTGGAGAATTCTGACCACGAGGCAGGAGAGGAAGTAGATGGGACCGTAGGCATGCAGGAACTACGTGCACGGCATGGCTCACCTCGTTACAATACAAACGCAACTCACCAGCACTTGGGGAGGGAGTTGAGAATTCTGACCACGTTGTGGGAGAGAGAGTAGATGACTTTTTAGTCGACTCAAAAGTTAACATGCACAGCACTGCTCAGCTCATACAAGCGCAACTCACCAGCCCTTGGGGACGGAGTTGAGAATCCTGACCACGTTGTAGGAGAGGGAGTAGATGGGGCCAGACGCATACAGGAAATACTCCGGCCCTAGCAGCCACGACTGCGGCTCAAACCTGCGCAGAACAGAAGCAGGAAGAGGTCAATAACGAGTACGAGAACAGCGGCGAGCAGGTTAGAGATAGGCTGTTGCATTGTTCGCAAGACAGCTGATGGCAACAGCACAGCAGGGAGACCTGAGTGGTTCAAAACTGCGTACACTGCTGCAACAGACTGAGAAAGTCGCGAGAATGAGTGCCAGCGAGCGTGATCTAGGTGTAATTTGGCAACTCACCACTTCTTCTTGGGGTTAGTAACCACAACTCCCTTCTTGAAGCACCCAAGGTAGGTTAGAGATGACTCCCTTGGCTTGGCGATCAGCGCAGAGAGGCGCTCTGCAGGGATGAACGAAAGCAGGCAGCAGAAGCAGGCAGGGAGGGTGTGAGCAGGAACTCTCAATGTGGCAATCAGAGAAGAGAGGCGCTCTGTAGGGACAAGCAGAAGCAGGCAGCAGAAGAAGGGAGGGAGGGTGTGAGCAGGGACCCTCACTGTCGCCAGCAACGTATGATCCTTCTCCTCTTCTTCACATTACTTTCGCCTTCCCCCCACCCCTCCCCCTCCTTCTCCCCTCACCCCCCCATACACACACCCCTCCCAAACGGGGAGTTCCCATCTGCATGACTTGAACCCCGTTTCATAGCGCTTGGGTTTTGAGTAGTAAGGAGAATCAAGGCCCTAAAAGATGCAAACCTGGAATGAGGTAAGGTGGGCGCACCTGGAATGAGGTAAGGTGGGCGCACCTGGAATGAGGTAAGGTGGGCGCACCTGGAATGAGGTAAGGTGGGCGCACCTGGAATGAGGTAAGGTGGGCGCACCTGGAATGAGGTAAGGTGGGCGCACCTGGAATGAGGTAAGGTGGGCGCACCTGGAATGAGGTAAGGTGGGCGCACCTGGAATGAGGTAAGGTGGGCGCACCTGGAATGAGGTAAGGTGGGCGCACCTGGAATGAGGTAAGGTGGGCGCACCTGGAATGAGGTAAGGTGGGCGCACCTGGAATGAGGTAAGGTGGGCGCACCTGGAATGAGGTAAGGTGGGCGCACCTGGAATGAGGTAAGGTGGGCGCACCTGGAATGAGGTAAGGTGGGCGCACCTGGAATGAGGTAAGGTGGGCGCACCTGGAATGAGGTAAGGTGGGCGCACCTGGAATGAGGTAAGGTGGGCGCACCTGGAATGAGGTAAGGTGGGCGCACCTGGAATGAGGTAAGGTGGGCGCACCTGGAATGAGGTAAGGTGGGCGCAGCTGGTACCAAGTAGAACGGAGCCCTTGGAGAGGTAAGAAGGGCGCACCTGGAATGAGGTAAGGTGGGCGCACCTGGAATGAGGTAAGGTGGGCGCACCTGGAATGAGGTAAGGTGGGCGCACCTGGAATGAGGTAAGGTGGGCGCACCTGGAATGAGGTGAGGTGGGCGCACCTGGAATGAGGTAAGGTGGGCGCACCTGGAATGAGGTAAGGTGGGCGCACCTGGAATGAGGTAAGGTGGGCGCACCTGGAATGAGGTAAGGTGGGCGCACCTGGAATGAGGTAAGGTGGGCGCACCTGGAATGAGGTAAGGTGGGCGCACCTGGAATGAGGTAAGGTGGGCGCACCTGGAATGAGGTAAGGTGGGCGCACCTGGAATGAGGTAAGGTGGGCGCACCTGGAATGAGGTAAGGTGGGCGCACCTGGAATGAGGTAAGGTGGGCGCACCTGGAATGAGGTAAGGTGGGCGCACCTGGAATGAGGTAAGGTGGGCGCACATGGAATGAGGTAAGGTGGGCGCACCTGGAATGAGGTAAGGTGGGCGCACCTGGAATGAGGTAAGGTGGGCGCACCTGGAATGAGGTAAGGTGGGCGCACCTGGAATGAGGTAAGGTGGGCGCACCTGGAATGAGGTAAGGTGGGCGCACCTGGAATGAGGTAAGGTGGGCGCACCTGGAATGAGGTAAGGTGGGCGCACCTGGCATGAGGTAAGGTGGGCGCACCTGGAATGAGGTAAGGTGGGCGCACCTGGAATGAGGTAAGGTGGGCGCACCTGGAATGAGGTAAGGTGGGCGCACCTGGAATGAGGTGAGGTGGGCGCACCTGGAATGAGGTAAGGTGGGCGCACCTGGAATGAGGTAAGGTGGGCGCACCTGGAATGAGGTAAGGTGGGCGCACCTGGAATGAGGTGAGGTGGGCGCACCTGGAATGAGGTAAGGTGGGCGCACCTGGAATGAGGTAAGGTGGGCGCACCTGGAATGAGGTAAGGTGGGCGCACCTGGAATGAGGTGAGGTGGGCGCACCTGGAATGAGGTGAGGTGGGCGCACCTGGAATGAGGTAAGGTGGGCGCACCTGGAATGAGGTAAGGTGGGCGCACCTGGAATGAGGTAAGGTGGGCGCACCTGGAATGAGGTAAGGTGGGCGCACCTGGAATGAGGTAAGGTGGGCGCACCTGGAATGAGGTAAGGTGGGCGCACCTGGAATGAGGTAAGGTGGGCGCACCTGGAATGAGGTAAGGTGGGCGCACCTGGAATGAGGTAAGGTGGGCGCACCTGGAATGAGGTAAGGTGGGCGCACCTGGAATGAGGTAAGGTGGGCGCACCTGGAATGAGGTAAGGTGGGCGCACCTGGAATGAGGTAAGGTGGGCGCACATGGAATGAGGTAAGGTGGGCGCACATGGAATGAGGTAAGGTGGGCGCACCTGGAATGAGGTAAGGTGGGCGCACCTGGAATGAGGTAAGGTGGGCGCACCTGGAATGAGGTAAGGTGGGCGCACCTGGAATGAGGTAAGGTGGGCGCACCTGGAATGAGGTAAGGTGGGCGCACCTGGAATGAGGTAAGGTGGGCGCACCTGGAATGAGGTAAGGTGGGCGCACCTGGCATGAGGTAAGGTGGGCGCACCTGGAATGAGGTAAGGTGGGCGCACCTGGAATGAGGTAAGGTGGGCGCACCTGGAATGAGGTAAGGTGGGCGCACCTGGAATGAGGTAAGGTGGGCGCACCTGGAATGAGGTAAGGTGGGCGCACCAGGAATGAGGTAAGGTGGGCGCACCTGGAATGAGGTAAGGTGGGCGCACCTGGCATGAGGTAAGGTGGGCGCACCTGGAATGAGGTAAGGTGGGCGCACCTGGAATGAGGTAAGGTGGGCGCACCTGGAATGAGGTAAGGTGGGCGCACCTGGAATGAGGTAAGGTGGGCGCACCTGGAATGAGGTAAGGTGGGCGCACCTGGAATGAGGTAAGGTGGGCGCACCTGGAATGAGGTAAGGTGGGCGCAGCTGGTACCAAGTAGAACGGAGCCCTTGGAGAGGTAAGAAGGGCGCACCTGGCATGAGGTAGATGTCGTCGTCTGCCTTGACGTAGTGCTCCGCTTCATAGAGCTTAAATATCGATGTGAAGTACACCAGACTGGGGGATGGGGGATGGGGGATTACAAGAGCAGGTGGAGAAAGGATGTTGAGGACAAGACTGGGGTATGGGGGATTGGATTGGATATGACAACGGCAGGTGAAGAAAGGAGTCAGGAGAGTTTAACACTGAAAGGCATGAGGAAGGTAGGAGGAAGGTACATGCATTAGAAACTTCACGTGGGAAGATGCATAACAGCAGCGATCAGCCAATGTTGTCATCAAGCAGATCCCCTCACATGTCCATCAAGCAGACCCCCTCACATGTCCATCAAGCAGACCCCCCACATTTCCATCATGCGAGCACCTCACATTGCCAGCAAGAGAGCACCTTACATCTTGTGGTTGAGATTAAGATACGCCTCATCCACATCAACGCGAAGGAAGTCCCCGTGAGTGCTGTTCTCCGCCTGCAGTAGTTGCTCGTCCTCCGCGCTGCCGTGCCCGATGATGAAGCGAAACACCAGCCCCGTTGCTGCCTCTATGCTGGAATTCATGGGGGGGGTGGGGGGGGAGGATGGGGAGGGAAGGGCACCTGTAGCATCTGCGCGTCCTCCGCGCTGCCGTGCCCGATGAGGAAGCGAAACACCAGCCCTGTTTCCCGCTTCCACCCTAAGAGTACGTAACGAAGGAAGGGAGGGGAGGGGCCACATCACAACAGATCTGATCACAATGGATCACATCAGATCCGATCACAATGCATCACATCCAGGGTCTCTGCACGCATCGAATGACGTCACAACTCGAATCACGAATCGGATGACGCCACACTCGAATCACGCATCGAATGACGTCTCACAAGCTGCGGTCGGTGAGTGCCGCACACACTGGAATTTGAGCAGGCGCATGAACGCCATCAAAGCAGCTTTGGGTGAACTCGAGTTTGACTACTGAGCGGACTAAAAACTCAACAGCCTGTTGACTTTTGAGAGTGCCGCACACACTGGCATTCGAGCAGGCGCATGAAGGCCATCGAAGCAGTTTTGGGTGAACTCGAGTTTGACTTCTGAGTAGACTCAAAAGTCAACGGAGTGCCGCACACACTGGAATTTGAGCAGGCGCATGAAGGCCATCAAAGCAGATTCGTGTGAACTCGGTACACCTCATGCCCCCATGCCATGCCCCACGCCATGCCCCACGCCATGCCCCACGCCATGCCCCACGCCATGCCTCATGCCATGCACCCACGGATAATGGCCTACCGCGCGTGCTCCTCGGGCGTGGCGGGGAACCACGTCTCGCGAAGCAGAGCGCGCCTCTTGCGGCTGCCGAAACCGGTTTGCACCCCGACGAACCCCAGCACGCGCTTCCTGCCCGGGTACCGCAACCGATCTGCACTCCTGTCGTCCATCCCGCTTGGAGATTCCGCCAACGGTCCGACCGCCGGTGCGGCTGCGGCAAGGGGCTGTAATTCCGAGTCGGCCAATTCATTCGACGCGCTCGCTGCGGCAATTGACTCTAACTTGGTTAATTCACTCCTCGCGGTCGCTGCGGCAAGCGGCTGTAGCGACTCGTTCTTTCCATTCGTCACGCTCGCGGAGATTGTCTGTAACGAGTTGGTCGTTTCATTCGTCGCACTCGCTGCGACAATTGACTCGACGAAATCACTCGTCATAGTCGCTGTGGCAACCGGCTGTAACTTGGCGAATTCACTCCTCGCGGTCGCTACGGCAAGCGGCCGTACTACTAACTGGGACCTACTCGCTCTATGATCGTATCTAATGACGAGGATGTCTAAAAGTATGAAGAAGAGGACGGCTAGTTGGAGCAGAAAGAGAGTCCAAGACACGCGCCATGACGTCCACACTTGCGGCTCGTCGGACGTCTGACTCTCAGATCCCATGACAGCCGATGAAAGGCCTTTATTACTACCGGTTCGCGTATATTATCTTTGTCGTGACTTTCCAGTCGACTCAAAAGTCACCCACGAGAGCCAATAAACATTCATTGAAACTGGATCGTTCGCGTATCACCATCTTCGAGGCGCCTCATTAATCATCAGAGGATAGAAGGTAGACGTCAGTCGCGTATACTAAACTCATCTACATACTATGGCGCGATCGATCAGGTAGGGGAAATCCTCAGGATTTCGAGGTGACTTCGAGGATTTCCTGTCAGCATGATATTTCCGTAGATTTTACGGACGTACCATGGCGGGAATCGGCGCTGGTCGAGGATCGCTTGGGAAAAAGGAAACGCCTATGGATCAGACTCAAAAGGTTATACTCGCTGGCAGTTATGGGATGGGCACGCGAACATAAATCAACCATCACTGAGGCGGGTTGCCCATAGATCGCGTGAGTCGCTAAGGCCTCCTTAGTTGATAAAAACTTCTGCCTTCTGGTTCCGAAGGCCCGATGATCGCGTGATGAGGAGGGGAGCGGATGCCGGGCGTCAGGGGCATTCCCAAGAAGAAATCCCCGAATCAGCTCCGCAGGCTTCCCTAGGCCGTTCCGAGCCTGTCTCTTTGGTCAGGGCCTGGCAAACAGGCCAATGAGAGCTGAGGGAATGATGCCGGCAGCGGCTACCTGCCCCAACCGCATCCCACCATTGTTTTCTGTTTTCTGTGCTCGGAGCAACAATGCATTGCTGCGGCAATGCAAGTCACACCGACATTTCAAGATGCGATATAAAAAAACGCGATGTATACCAGTGCTGAAGTTAGTTATGAGCTGGATGCATCGTAAGCATGTCATATACTGTACCATAGAGATACCGTAGGTGCAATTCACTCCAACTAATATAGATTTTTATAGTCAGTCATCACTACCACCAGCATCTCCCACCCATGAGCCCGTGCCTGTGACTGGAACAGTCGGGGCGGTCACAGCAAAGCAGAGATTTTCGCGCGGAGGAAATAAATTGTGTTATTTGTGCTCGTAGTGGCTTACGGTATGTACCGTATGCATTTCGTGGATCAGTCACAGAGGTTAGACTTGTCCTTTCCCAGCGCAGTAGCTGTTTGTATGTAGCTCTTTCATTCGCACTTCAATAAGGCAGATGCCGGAACACTGGGGTTCCCAAATAGCCACAGCAAAGCGCCCAGCAGCTAAACTCGTCCTTTACCAGTGCAGTCACCGTTTGTATGTAGCTCCTTCATTCGCCTTTCAATATGGCAGATGCCGGAACACTGGGCATCCCAGATGGCCACAGCAGAGCGCGAGCATCTCTTCTGGCAGAGAGACGGGGTCTTCTCGTGAGACACGTCAAAGGCAAGCATCCACGCTCCCATGCTTGCATCCTCGTTCACGAGCATCCTCATCCTGCAACCAGAGATGGGAGAACAAGGTACGACTTTTGAGGGCTCCATACCCTCCTACCCTTGGGAATGGCGTCGAGAATTTGGACCGCGTTGTAGGAGAGGGAGAGATGGGGGCGCAGGCATGCAGGGGATACATGCACGGCTCACCTCGTTGCAAGTCAAACACAACCCACCTGCCCTTGGGGATTGCGTTGAGAATTTCAACCATGTCGCAGGAGAGGGAGAAGGTGGGGGCGTAGGCCTGCAGGGGATACATGCACGGCTCACCTCGTTGCAAGACAAATGCAAGGCATCTACAACCCACCTGCCGTCGGAGATGGAGTTGAGAATCTGGACGACGTCATAGGAGAGCAAGTGGATCGGGCTGGACGCATACAGGAAATACATGCACAGCTCACCTTGCTGCACGGCTCACCTTGCTGCAAGGCAAAGCAAGACAAGCACAGCTCACCTGCCGTTGGGAATGGAGTTGAGAATCTGGAAGACGTCATAAGAGAGCAAATAGATGGCACCCGATGCATACAGGTGATACTCCGACCCCAGCAGCCACGCCTGCGGCTCAAACCTGCACGTCAGAGCAAACCGCAGAGATGGCTGATTTTTAGGCGCCGCTAAGGAGACAACTTCTGAGGTGCCTCAAAAGTCGCAAAAGAGGCATACAGGTGACACTCCGACCCCAGCAGCCACGCCTGGGGCTCAAACCTGCGCAGAGCAGAACAGAGGAAGAGAAGCAGAAAAAGAAGAAGGTGAGCAGGTGGAGGTCAGGAATGAGCGTGAGAGAGGAGGGAGCAGGTGACGATTTTAATTGTTGCATTGTTGACAAGTCAGCATTCTGCAGGAAGTCAGCCGGAGAGGCCGCCTGACCTGACGGCGATTAGAAACATTAGGAACACTAGGAATACCAGACTGCTTTAGAAACTGAGTACGCTGCATGCTGCATGGACTGACAAAGGTGCCAAAAGGAGTGCCAGCGAGCGTGATCTAGGTGTAGTATGGCAACTCACCACCTCTTCTTGGGGTCAGTAATCACGTTTCCCTTTTTGAAGCATCCAAGGTACGTTCGAGGTGACTTCCTTGGCTTGGCGATCAGAGCAGAGAGGCGCTCTGCAGGGAACAAGGGTGGGACGCACATAAGCAGGCAGCAGAGGGTGTTTTGAGAAGTCTCAAAACAGATTTATTATCCCTTGGCCTGGCGATCAGAGCAGAGAGGCGCTCCGCAGGGTGGGTCTCGTGAGAGCAAGGAGTCTCAACTCAACGTCGCCAGCAACAGATGATCCTTACAGAAAGCATCATCGTGCATAAGCTCAGAAAGCTTACGCACACACACGCACGCACGCACGCACACACGCACACGCATGCACGCGCGCGCGCATACACACACACACGCACACGCACACGCGCACACACACACATGCTCACACACTCCTCCACTACGTGGGCTCAAACGGACGTCCCTATCTGCCTGCCTTCAAATGGGTTGGGGACGTCTTAAAGCCCCGGCTTCACAGAGCATGGGAAAGTCTATCTAAGATGGGCGCACCCCTCCACTGCATGGGCTCAAATAGATGTGCCCATCTGCCTGACTCCAGATGGGTTTATTTTGACGTAGTACTTGGCCTCATAGAGCTTGAAGGCCGTCGTGAAGAACAGCAGACTGGGGGAGAGAAACAGGGATAGGAAGTTGTGAGAGCAGGTGGAGAGACAGGAATGAGGGGAGTTTGAATTGCTGGTTGGTGGACTACTTTTGAGGCGCCACAAGGTGACTTCTGAGTCGACTCAAAAGGTCACCTCGTTGAGAGAGCAGGTGGAGAAACAGGAGTGTGCGGAGTTTGAATTGCAGGTTGGTAGCAAGGACTACTTTTGAGGCGCCTCAAGAGGACTTGACTTTGTTGTTTTACTTTTCTATCTCTATTTCTACTTGTCGCAATGAGATCAAGGGAGCGCCTCCTGTGAGCATCTTGTTTTGAGGCGCCTCAAAACTAGACGCCTCCCGTGAGCATCTTACATCTTGCGGTTGAGATTGAGGTACGACTCTTGCACGTCCACACGGAAGAAGTCCCCGTGAGTGCTGTTTTTCTCCTGCAGCATCTGCTCGTCCTCTGCGCTTCCGTGCCCCACTATGAACCGAAACACCAGCCCCGTTGCTGCTTCCACCCTGGAGAGTATGTGAGGAAGGAGGATGGTGAGGGGGGAGGGGTGAAGAGGGCACAACTCATGTCAACCGGGACACTAGGCGTGTTTCTTCTCCGTAGCTTCTTACGGAGAAGAAGCGCAGGGTGAAGGTGCTACAGGACACATCACATCTTATCCCATCATACACCCCACAGCACCACCGCACCCCACTGCAATGCATTGGATTGGAATGCACTGGACTGCGCTCCACCGCGCACCCAACTGCACCTCCGCACCCGACTGTATTGCACCACACCGCACCCAACCGCAACCCACCGCACCCACCACGGCCCACACACCCCAGCGCACCATATTGCGCCACACCGCACCCACCGCACCCAATCGCACTGCACCGCAGCGCACCCCACCGCACCTCAACGCACCCAGCCTCGGCCCTCCACCCCATCCCACCCCACCCCACCCCAACGCACCCCACCCCACGCCATCCCATCCCATCCCATCCCATCCCATTCCACCGCATCCTACCTTCTCATCCACCGCGCCCTTGCCATGCCAATGATGAACCGTAATACCACCTCACAGGGCTGGTTGGGCCAGGACCCTTTTCAGACTCAAATGCCTGGCGAAGAAAGACCTTACAGGACACATGAACCCAAAGACCTGTCCTCAAAGAAAGTCAAGTCTGGGATTCAGCAAAGACTTTTCCTGGACACCCGATTGGAGTTCCTTTTATTTAACAACTAGCTGTCGCTTCCATTTCACATTGCGTCTCACATTGCCCCCACCACATGCCTCTACGCCATGCCCCCACCACCTCGGGATAATGGCCTACCGCGCGTGCTCCTCGGGAGTGCCAGGGAACCACGTCTCGCGAAGCAGCGCGCGCCTCTGCCCGCTGCGGCCGAAACCGGTCAATACCCCGACGAACCCCGCCACGCGCTTCCTGCCCGGGTACCGCAACCGATCTGCACTCCTCTCGTCCATCCCTGGCGATTCCTCCATCGGTAATACCGCCGCTGCGCCGGTCGCTGAGGTCGCTGCGGCTACTCGCTGTAACTCGGCGGGTGCATTCGTCGCTGTGACTTCGCCAACCAGCTGTAACTCGGCGGGTTCATTCGTCGCTGTCGCTTCGCCAACAGGCGGCTGAAACTCGGGTTCATAAGTCGCTGTCGCCGCTTCGCCAACCGGCTGTAACTCGGCGGGTTCTTTCGTCGCTGTCGCTTCGCCAACCAGCTGTAACTCGGCGGGTTCATTCGTCACTGTCGCTTCGCCAACCGGCAGCTGAAACTCGGGTTCATAAGTCGCTGTCGCCGCTTCGCCAACCAGCTGTAACTCGGCGGGTCCTTTCGTCGCTGTCGTCGCTTCGCCAACCGAAAGTAGCTCGGCGGGTTCATTCCTCGCTGTCGCTTCGCCAACCGGCTGTAACTTGGCGAATTTACTCGCCGCCGTCGCAGAAGCAACCCGCTGTACTACTAGCTGGGATGTAGTCGTCCGATCATACCTAAGAACGAAGACATATAAAACGAGGAAGACGAGGACGGCTAGTTGGAGCAGGAAGAGGGACCAGGACACGCGCCATGACGTCAGCAAATGCGCTGGCTCGACGGACGTCACCTTACTACTACCCTCCGGGCCCATGAGCTGGTAGTCAAGCCTTGACGGCTTTAAAGACGTCTCAAATGCCGATGAAAGGTCCGACCTGTGAGAGGCTTCCTGAATCGTTCGCGAAAGATGCTGTTGTAAAGTTTGAGGCGCCTCAAAAACCATCGGCGCGTAAAATCAATGAACGGTCTTATTGGACTTCACACGAATATCGGGATCGATCTTGCAGGGGATATCTCGCAATGGCGGGACTATTACCGAGGCAGGATCAGCGCCGCTGGTTGATTCTCGCGGCGCGTCAAGAATCGGCTGATCTTGCAGGGGATACAATGGTGTTACTTGCAATGGTGGCACTACCGTACCCTGTACTACCATAGCAGGATCAGCGCCGCGTGTTGAGGATCGTTTGGCAACGGGGAGACGAAAATCTCTGTCGCGAGCGAGCAGCCATTATTTGGAGAGCGCGAAAAAACACATACTAACAAGTCATTTCAGCCACCACCATTCCTCCAACGCGCCTTCGCTTCACCCCAGCAACTGCCCCTACGGCTGCGTGTGTGCGAACGTCGGGCTTTATGGTCTTTCCAGGAGTCCTCCTGTATCGACATGCTTGCTCGCTGGTCAACTCGCGAGCAGAATGAAATCTGCAAGTCCTATCGGGGAATGGGATAAAGCGTGCCGTGACGTGACCGTTTTTGAATGGATCCCTCCCGAGGCGCGTGCCATCGGGATGGGGGAAGCTGACGGAACGTCTGGTAGTTTTGACGGCTTGACCGCGCTGGAGATGCCGTACCGTACTGTGCCCTTCCTGTACAGTGTCTGTGACTGGGCTGGTTCGCTTCGCTTTGATGACCCATGACATCACACTGATGAGCCAAGGGAAGAAAAGAAGGAATGAATGGTGAGAATGAATGCTGCCACCGTTTACCACCACGCAAGGTATGTTCAAAACCGTATCAAAACGCATCCCACCACGTCATTACCTGTGCCGGCCGGCAGTGTTATCCCCTGAAGGGTTGGTGCTTTCGCTTCCACCAGCAACCCACAAATTCCAAGGAAGCGGTATAGGGTAACGCGATGAAAGTAGTGCAGAAGGAATTTAGTTGAAAAATGTGAATTGGTTGATGATGAGGTACCTAGAATTTTGTGAACAATTGCCTATCTGTAAAAAAATGGCACCCAGCTTGTGTTGATAAGCCAGCAAAGCTTAGAGAGCCTACCAAGATGTACTGGCTTCTCCATGAACTAGAAATTGCTATTTTAATTTCGGCTTATTGTACCAAGCTGCACACATCAAGTTTTTAGGCCTTGGTTGTTACACATGGTGTACTCCTGCAATGACTTGCTCTGCGAGTTTATGCGTGCACATGTCGTGCGACTTGTATGGGGAGGAAATGGCAGGGATGATGATGGACATGCTGCATTGCCAATGATACATCCTAACCGACCGAATGGACGAGCCAATGTCAACTCAAAACTAGACTCAACGCAAACATCCTAACCGACCCAATTGACGACTGTACAATGCAATCTACTGTCTGGTACTGTGTTATGTTGTTTCTCCCATACCCAGAATCATTGTGCCTTTATCTATGGTATGTCCAAGCTGGGGAGGTTAGAGCTGAATTTTCTGCGTGGAGGGAATGAATGCTTTTCTCTGCGCTCGCAGCCGCTGCTGCCACCACACCCCACGACACCTTCACCTGCGGCGTGCCTGTGCCTGTGCCTGTGCCTGTGCGTGAGTGAGTGCTGTGATTTCGGACCAGAGGGCGTGAATTGTCCCCTTTGTGCTGGCAGTGGCTGTTGCACGGCATCCCATCCCACCACGCCTTCACTTCACCTGCGCCTTGGCGGCACCTGTCCCTGTGCGTGCGTCTGAGCCAGACAAAAGATTTCTGACCGATTTCCCCCCGGAGGGACTGAATGCTTTCCTCCGTGGTGGAAGTCGCTGCTGCCACGGCATCCCATCCCACGCCAGCCTTCACTTCACCTGAGCCGTGCCTGCACCTGTCCCTGTGCGTGCGTCTGAGTCAGTGCTGAGATCTCTCAACAAGTGCTGAGAGACTGAATGCTTTCCTCCGTGGTGGAAGTCGCTGCTGCCACCGCACCCCACCACGCCTCCACTTCACCTGCCCCGTGGCAGCACCTGCCCTTGTGCGGGCGTGCGAGTCAGAGCTGCGATTTCCGCACGGAGAGACTGAATGGTTTCCTCCGTGCTGGCAGTGGCTGCTGCCACCGCACCCCACCACGCCTTCACCTGTGGTGTGGCTGTGCCGGCTGACACGGTTGCTGCTTCATGCAGCGGAGGCGCCCTCTCCTGCACCACCTGCAGCCCTGCCAGGATCTGAGTGCGTGTAAAGAGGGGTGGGGTGGGGGGGGGGGGGTGGAGTGGGAGGGGGTGTGGGTGTATGTGAGTTATAAATCACATCAGCTGCTGCTTCTCCTGCACCACCTGCAGCCCTGCCAGGATCTGTGTGCATTTGGGTGGGTGTGCGAGCGCGCGCGCACGGTGTGTGTGTGTGTGTGTGTGTGTGTGTGTGTGTGTGTGTGTGCATGTGTGTGTGTGTGACTGCGTTTTAGAGAGTGGGCAGATAGGGGGTGAATAAAAAATCACTCTTTCGGTGTGTGACAGATGAGCAACGCACCTCAACCACAACAGAGAAGTGCCACTACCCAGCAGAGGGAAGGAGTATGCGAGTTGACTTTTGAATCGACTCAATATGGAGATCCACTCGATGGATGTTTCTAACACCTTCCTCCAAGGCGTCCTCCGCGAGCTTATCTACATGGAGCGTCCAGCCGGCTTTAACCTCCCCTTCCCAGCAGACTCTGTCTGGCAGCTGCGTCGCCCTGTGTATGGGCTCCGACAGGCCCCGAGGGAGTGGCATGCTAAACTTGCCGCCACCCTTGCTGAACTTGGGTTCCGCACCTCCCGCTCTGACGCCAGCCTCTTCCTCCGCACCTCCCCCTCCCCATTTTACATCCTTGTGTATGTCGATGACATGATTTTGCTCACTGCCGACCTTGGAGAGTTGGAGCGTGTTAAGGCTGAGTTGGGCAGCCGTCTCAAGTGCAAAGATTTGGGAGAGCTACAGCACTACCTCGGCATGACCATCACTCGCGACCGCTCCGCCCGCACCATCTCACTCTCCCAGGGTCATTACTTGCAGCAGGTCTTGGAGTGGTTTTACATGGCCCGCGGCGGCGCCCAACCTACACCTCTTTCTGTCGGGCACCACCTCTCTCCACCCACCTCCCCCTCAGCCTCCTCCCATCCTTATCCCGAGCTCATCGGCTCCCTCATGTACGCCATGGTCTCCACTCGCCCTGACCTTGCCTACCCCATCAGCGTCCTCGCTCGGTTTGTTGGCGCTGGCAAGCATACGGACGAGCACTGGCAGGCTGCCAAGCGCGTCCTCCGGTACCTTCGTGGCACCAAGGACTATGTCCTTACCCTTGGCGGCCCTTCCCCACCTCTCCTCAGCGGCTACAGTGACTCCTCCTGAGCTGACTCCCGACCAGATCGTCGCTCCTCCCAGGGCTATGGCTTCTCTCTTGGCAGCGGCCTTATCAGCTGGCGTTCCACGCGCTCCTCGGCTATCGCCCTCTCGTCCTGCGAAGCCGAGTTGTATGCCGCCACCATGGCTGCACAAGAGGCTCGCTGGCTCTCCTTCCTTCTTGAGGAGCTTGGTGCCCCCCAGCGCTGTCCCACCATTTGGTGTGACAACGCCAGCACCATTCACCTCACGAAGGATGCTGTGTTTCACGGGCGCTCCAAGCACATTGAGCTCCGTCATTTCTTCATTCGCAATCTTGTTCAGGCTGGGCACCTGCGACTCGACAAGGTTGACTCGGCGGCCAACCTTGCCGACATCTTCACAAAAGCTCTTCCTCATGCGGCTCACTCTTCACTGATCCGTCTCCTTGGCCTTACTCCTCCGAAGATGGTTCCCGTTTCTTCATTGTAGCCTTCTAGCCTTATGCATGTTGGGGGGTTGTGTTGTAATTCCATATTTTATACAACATGCATAGGCTAGACTTAGATGTGTAGCACTCTTATAAATTGGGGGGTCGGTTCGTGTACCCTCCAACCACATTTTGTGGTTGGTGGGGATTGGTCCTTACCTCAACCAATCCCAACCAACACACATTTTGTGGTTGCTTGGGCCACAAGCAAGCTCACCCATTGGCCAACTTATTGGCCAATAGGGTAAGCTTCCCTCTCATCTCTCTCTTGCTCATTGCTTGTACTAAAGAGCCTTTTGGCTCATTATTCAGTGTATCAATTCTCACTCTTCTAACACTATGCAGGGTTATGATGGGGCTATGCAGGGTTATGATGGGGCTATGCAGGGTTATGATGGGGCTATGCAGGGTTATGATGGGGCTATGCAGGGTTATGATGGGGCTATGCAGGGTTATGATGGGGCTATGCAGGGTTATGATGGGGCTATGCACGGTTATGATGGGGTTATTGAGAAATCTTATTAATGTGAGGGTTACCTTGAGAAGAGCTGAGTGCTGCGTGTGCACAGCAGAGGCTCGAGGGCCAATCTTGATGGGGCGAGGCGGGGGGTTGCGCTGCATCCAGGGGAACAGGTCCTGCGCAGTGGGGGGGATGGGGAAAAAGAGGGGAGGTGCCCGCACAAGGGTGGGGTGGGGAGCGGAGGGCACAAAGGAGGGGAGTTGCGCTGCATCCAGGGAAACAGGTCCTGCGTGGTGGGGGGGATGGAGGGCGCAGAGGGGGCACGGGGAGTTGGGGGAAGCGGACGGCACAAAGGGGAGGGGGGTTTGCACTGCATCCAGGGAAACAAGTCCTTTGGGGTGGGGGGATGGGGGGCAGAGAGGGGGCACGTGGGGGTGAAGAAGCAGAGGGCACAAAGGGGAGAAGGGTTGCGCTGCATCCAGGGAAACATGTCCTGTGGGGTGGGGGGATGGGGGCAGAGAGAGGGGGAAGCGGAGGACACTGGGATGGTTGCGCAGCATTCAGGGGAGCATGTCTTGGAGAGAGAGGGGGACGTGGGGAGGATGATTGGGGGAAAGATGGAGGGCATGGGGTGTGAGAACAATAGTTTGAAGAGAAGTTGATGATTGAATTGAGGAGATTGGGGGTTTACATAGGGAGTGGGTTGGATCCTAGCCTAGGTGAGCATTATTGGACCCCAACCAAGAAGTTGGGTTGGGGGATTATTGGTGGGGTCCAATAATGTTGGCCAAGTTGGAGTTGGGCCAACATTATTGGAGTGAACCAATAATTCTACCCAACCCAACCTTTGGGGTCCAATAATTGGACCAAGGTTGGGTTTCCAACCTACAAACTGGGTGACCCTTGTTTGTACACCCAAACTGAGTTTGGGTGCTTAACTCTAGCCTAACCTATAACATCTATGCAGGTTACACAAGAAGATAGATTCTAACACAACCCCTTAACCTGCAGAGATGCGGAAAGGCTTGAGTGAAGCAACCCCTGAATCAAGGCGCGCCTGGGGGAGCGAGGCCGATGAGGCGGAGAAGAGCAGAGTGCGCAGGGCGAAGGAGTGCTTTGGTGAAGATATCTGCCAAGTTGGCTTCAGCGGCGATCTTACGAACGGCAATGAGATTCTGTTGGACGAGTTCACGGATGAAGAAATAGCGGAGCTCAATGTGTTTGGAGCGACCGTGGAACACGGGGTCTTGGGTGAGATGGATGGTGCTGGCATTGTCACACCAGAGCGTGGGGCAGCGCTGGGGAACACCAAGCTCAGCCAGGAGGAAGCAGAGCCAGCGGGACTCCTGGGCGGCCATGGTGCCAGCATAGAGCTCAGCTTCACAGGAGGAGAGGGCGATGGCAGAGGAGCGGGTAGAGCGCCAGCTGATGAGGCCGCTGCCGAGGGTGAAGCCATAGCCTTGGGAGGAGCGGCGGTCTGGCTGGCAGTCTGCCCAGGAGGAGTCGCTGAAGCCAGAGAGAAGGGGGGGGGAAGATCCACCCAGCGTGAGAGCGTGGTCTCTGGTGCCACGGAGATAGCGGAGGACCCGCTTGGCGGCAGTCCAGTGTTCCTCAGTGTGGCGGCCGGGGCCGACGAACCGAGCAAGGACACATACAGGGTAGGCGAGGTCGGGACGAGTGCACATCATCGCGTACATCAGCGACCCAACAAGCTCGGCGTAGGGCCGGGAGGAGGTGGAGGGGGAGGTGGGTGGCGCAAGCTGGTGGCCGAAGGGGAGAGGGGTGGAGATCGGTTTGGCTTGTGCCATCTCGAACTTCTCCAGGACCTGGCCGATGTAGTGGGACTGGGAGAGGGTGATGGTGCGGGCGGATCGATCACGGGTGATAGCCATGCCGAGGTAGTTCTGAAGCGGACCAAGGTCCTTGCACTTGAGACGTTCCTGAAGTGACCGCTTCACATGATCCATGTCAGCCCTGGTGTCGGCGAGCAGGATCATGTCGTCGACGTAGACGGAGATGAAGAAGCGACTGGGGGAGGAGCGGATGAAGAGGCTGGCATCGGAGTGGGAGGGGGAGAAGCCAAGGGACTGGAGAGTAGCAGACAGCTTCGCATGCCATTCTCGTGGTGCCTGCTTCAGGCCGTAAACCGGGCGCTTTAGTTGCCAGACGGTGTTTTCGGGGAAAGCCGCATGAAACCCAGGAGGTCGGCGGAGGAAGATGCGCTCGTGCAGTTCGCCTTGCAGGAACGCGTTGGAGACGTCCATGGAGTCAATCTCCATGTCGTCACGCGCACCGATGTCCATAAGGGTGCGTAGGGTGGCTTGCCTGAGGGTGGGGGCAAATGTGAACCAGTAGTCCTCAGCCCAGGTCTGGGTGAACCCCTTGGCAACATAGCGGGCTTTGTAGACTGGCTCCTCTCCCGGCAGCTGTTTGACTCGAAAGATCCACTTGCCCTCGACAAGGTTGGCGTCAGGGGGAAGGGGAACGTCGATAAAGGAGTCGTTGCGAATGAAAGCCTCACACTCCAGGAAGATAGCGGCTAACCACTTGTCAGCGTCAGGGCAGGTGATAGCCTCCTGGAAGGTGGTGGGGACGAAGATGGTGGGAGCGGAGATCGCGCTAAGGATCAGAGCGCCGAAGAGGTCAGGGTAAAGTGTGAAGATAGAGGGAGTGTGGTGCCGGACCATGGCGAACTCCTCATGGGAATCCTCGAGCTGGTGGAGGGAGGAAGGTGGCGGTGTGCCAAGGATGGGATCAAGAGAGCGGGTGTGCATGCGAGGGAGGAGGAAGGGTGAGGAGCGGGCAGACGCCCTCCGCCGCTGCTGCTGCTGCTGCTGCTGGACCCCCTGTTGCTGCTGCGGCCGCTGCTGCGGCTGTTGTTGCTGCTGCTGCGGCTGCCCCTGTGGTTGTTGCGGCGGCCACTGCTGCTGCCCCTGCTGCTGTTGGTGCGGCTGCTGCTGCGGCTGCCCCTGCTGCTGCTGCTGCTGTGGCTGCTGCTGCTGCCCCTGCGGCTGCTGCTGCGGCTGCCCCTGCTGCTGCTGCTGCTGTGGGTGCTGCTGCTGCTGCGGCTGCTGCTGCGGCTGCTGCTGCTGCTGCTGCTGTGGCTGCTGCTGCTGCCCCTGCGGCTGCTGCTGCTGCTGCTGCTGCCCCTGTGGCTGCTGCTGCGGCTGTTGGGATGGATGAGAAGGAGAGTAGGAAGGAGAGGAGGGAGAGGGAGCCGCGGAGTGTGCAGGGGATGCTGGAGCAGTGGGATCATAGATATCGGCAGATGAGGGTGGCGGAAGCGGAGTGGGGAGGGGTGGGAGAAGGGGTGCTGGAGGGAGGAGGGGAGGGAGGACGGTGTCGGTCCAAGCGAGAGGACGGGTGGGAGGAGGGAGGGGGTCTGGTGGTGGAGAGGAATAATATGGGGTGGTCTCATCAAACACAACGTCAATGCTGCGGATGAGGCGACCGGAGGGAGGGTGAAGGAAAAGGTAACCGGGCGAGTCGCGGTTGTGGCCGAGGTAGACACACTCGAGGGCACGAGAAGCGAGCTTGCCGTGGGTGCGTTCAGGTGGAGGGATGAGCACATATGCCTTGCAACCCCAAACACGAAGTCCGGCAGCGTCAGGTTTGGTCCCTGACCAGAGCTCCGTGGGGGTAGTGGCGGTGTGGCAGGGATGGGAGCGAAGGTTGAGGAGGAGGGTAGCATGAAGGAGTGCATAGCCCCAAAGAGAAGGAGGGGTGGAGGCGTGAGCGAGGAGACAGCGGGCGATCTTAGTGATTTCGCGAATGCGGCTCTCTGCGACGCCGTTCTGCTGTGGGGAGTGGGGAAGAGTGTGGGTCTGTTGGATGCCATGAGTGGTGCAGTAGTGAGTGAGTGCGCGATTGAGGAATTCGCCTCCCCCATCAGAGTGGAGGCGGCCGATGGGACGTTTGAAGTGGGTGCGGCATTGTTCTGCCCAGTGAATGATCATGGTCGGCGCCTGGGCTTTCGTGTGGAGGAGGAAAATGGAGGAGTAGCGGCTGTGATCGTCAACCAGAACCAGCATGTAGCGATGGCCTTGGCAGGAGCGGGTGGGAGAGGGCCCTCAAAGGTCCATATGGACAAGGTCAATTGGTGCAGGAGCAAAGGATGGGTGGCTGTGGTGAGGAGATTGTTTGAGTTTGCCGTGGATGCAGGAGGGGCATGGGGGGGCCGGGGAGGAGGGAAGGGGAGGAAGGGTGGGAGGGAGGCTGTGAAGGAGTCGTGAGGTGACAGCAGTGCGGAGAGCGGCGAAATTGGGATGGCCGAGTCGGTGATGTAGGAGAACAGCGGGGTGGGAGAGATGGTCGGAGGTGGAGGGGATTGGAACGAGGGAGGGCGGGATGAAGGAGTGGGGGGATGGTGGAGTGGGGGGGGAGGGAGGGAGATGGGGAGGGCTAGTGGAGGTACCCGCACGAGTGGTGACATGACAGGAGGATGGCCACGGAGTGCGGAGAGTGTAGAGGCGAGTGCGGGGGCAGAGGGGTATGCGGAGGAGGAAGCGGCCGGAGGCAGTGTGGTAAAGGTCACAGTAGGTGGCATTACCAGGGTAGACCGCAGTGATACCTGCACTTTGTATTTCACGGTGGGAGAGGAGGTTGTTTCGGAGAGTGGGGATGTGGAGACCAGTTACCTTACCAGAGGGGAAGAGTGAGCAGGGGAGAGTGGAGAGGTGTGTGCATGGAATAGTGAAGCTGCTGTCAGCGCCGTGAACCTGAGTGGGAGGAGAGAGGGGTGTGAGTGTACCAGCGTCTTTGAGAGCAGTTTCAGTGGCCCCACTGTCCAGGACAAAGTCCAGAGTGGGTGAGGAGGAGGAAGGCACGGAGTACTGGAAAGTGGTTTCATTAATGGTGGACGGGTACATGGAAGGAAGAGAGGGTGAGATAGCAATGTTGCCAAGAAAGTTCTCCTGAGTGAGAGGGGTGGCAGTGCCACTGGGGGGGGGTGGAGTACCCCAAAGGGGAGCCGGTGAGGCCTGAGCGGCCATGGCTGCGGTGCCGAAGTTTAGCTGCTGCTGCTGCCAGGGAGGAGGGCTAGGTCCCCACTGGGGCTGGGGTCCTGATCCCCATGGGTGCTGCTGCGGCTGCGGCTGCTGCTGCTGCTGCGGCTGTGGATAAAACAGCTGCTGTAGTTGCTGGTGCTGCTGCTGCTGCTGCTGCTGCTGTAGGAGGTGCTGCTGCTGGAGGTTGAGAAAAGGTGTGGGGGGAGCAAGGAGGCGGAGGTGGGCAGGGAGGTAAGCGGGGTTGGTTTGGATGTCGGTGGGGGAGGGACGTGGGGAGATCGTTCCCCACTTTGGAGGATTGCCAACGGTACCTCGTGCGTACCAAGCATCATCGAGGGCCTTGAAGCAGGTGGCAGGGGGATGGTTGGTCTGTCCGCAGGGTGTTCCAGCCCGGGGGCCATAGCGGCGAACATAGGTGCAGGGCGGAAGAGTACCGGGGCGACCGCCGCTGCTTGCAGGAGCTCCGCCTGTGGTGGTGGTGCCGTGCTCATCCCCAGTGGTACCGCCACGTCTGCTCGCGCTGCTGCCGCCGGGACCGCTACCTCCCTTGCCTCCACCGCCCCCCTTGCCGTTGTGCTTGCCCTGCTTGCGGGGCTGAGTAGCGTTGAGGGAGGAGGAGGAGGGTTGGGAGGAGGCGAGGTTGACGACGGGGGTGCGAAGTTTGACTTCGGTGTCTATGATCCACTGTTCAACGGAGGCGAGGTCAGCCATGGGATTGGCTTCAGTAAAGGCGTGAAGGCGGGATTCATAGTCGGGAGTGAGGTTAAACAGGAGGCGATGGATTTGGAGGGGTTCGGAGAGGCCGGCTTGGCGGGCTTCGAGGCGGTCAGCTACCTCCCGCATGCGGCCGATGTAGTCGACCGCTCCGTCACAGGTAGCAAGGGTGATTGAGAAGTATTCTTGAAACAGAATGCCGACCGAGCTGATGTCGCGGCGTTCGAACATCGCATGGAGCTCTGCCCAGATGACCGAGGCCCGGAGCTCTCGAGCCTGGAAGCGGCGCATGAGAGAGTCAGGGAGAGCCCCAAGGAGAACGGTGCAGGCACGAGTGTCAGCAGTTGTCCAGGCGATAAGTTTCGGGGTGTAGGTGGCCATGTCGGCTTGGTATTTGGCGACGACGGCGAGGTGAGCGTTGCGGCCGGTAACTGCCTGGTCATAGGCTTCGACTGCTGCATCGTACTCTGCTTTCTTGATAAGGTACGCACGGCGGCGTAGGATGAAGTCTGTATCGGCCGTGGATTGGTCGGCGGTGAGTTGGAGGTCAGGTTCAAGAGGAGGATCGCCGGGAGAGGGAGGGAGAGGGGGAGTCTCGCCCGGGTGGTCAGGTTCGGTGGGGGGGAGTGCATGGGGACGGCGGAGGAGGACATCAAGGACACGGTAGGGGGGAACCCACGCATCGGAGAGGACCCGTCGGATGCTGCCGACGAAGGAGTGCCAATTAATGGCGGATTTGTCTGCGGCGAGCTGCAACTTATCGACGGAGGAGGTGTCAATAGGTGGAGGGAGGGGGACGGGGGAGGGTGTGGCGGTAGCCATGGAGGACGGCTGCGGGTGGGCCTGCAGTGGTCACGGGGGGAGGTGAGGCGGCGACGAGGCCGCGGGAGGGAGAGGCCGCGGCGGGCAGCGGCTGAGGCCGCGGCGGAGTCGGCGCGGAGGCGGCGACGAGGCCGCGGGAGGGAGCGGCGCGGACGGCAGCGGCTGGCGAGGCCGCGGCGGAGTCGGCGCGGAGGCGGCGACGAGGCCGCGGAAGGGAGCGGCGCGGACGGCAGCGGCTGAGGCCGCGGCGGAGTCGGCGCGGAGGCGGCGACGAGGCCGCGGGAGGGAGCGGCGCGGACGGCAGCGGCTGGCGAGGCCGCGGCGGAGTCGGCGCGGAGGCGGCGACGAGGCCGCGGAAGGGAGCGGCGCGGACGGCAGCGGCGGAGGCCGCGGCGGAGTCGGCGCGGAGGCGGCGACGAGGCCGCGGGAGGGAGCGGCGCGGACGGCAGCGGCTGAGGCCGCGGCGGAGTCGGCGCGGAGGCGGCGACGAGGCCGCGGGAGGGAGCGGCGCGGACGGCAGCGGCTGGCGAGGCCGCGGCGGTGTTGGCGCGGAGGCGGCGTCGAGGCCGCGGGAGGGAGCGGCGCGGATGGCAGCGGCTGGCGAGGCCGCAGCGGAGTCGGCGCGGAAGCGGCGACGAGGCCGCGGAAGGGAGCGGCGCGGACGGCAGCGGCTGGCGAGGCCGCGGTGGAGTCGGCGCGGAGGCGGCGATGAGGCCGCGGGAGGGAGCGGCGCGGACGGCAGCGGCTGGCGAGGCCGCGGCGGAGTCGGCGCGGAGGCGGCGACGAGGCCGCGGAAGGGAGCGGCGCGGACGGCGGCAGCTGGTGGAGCCGCGGCGGAGTCGGCGCGGAGGCGGCGTCGAGGCCGGGGAGAGGCGCGAGCGGCAGCGGTCGGCGGGACCGCGACGAGGCGAGCGCGGAAGGGGTGATGGGGCCGCGGAAGGGGGGGAGGGGGGGGGGGAGTGGTGCGAGCCTTGGCGGCGTGGGAGGGAGCGCTTGATGAGAGGGGAAGGGCGGCAAGATGGCCGCGAAAAAAAAATGAGGAAGAAGGCCGGGGTTGTAGTGGCCTTTGAAAACTTTATAGAGTAGGCCTAGGAATTAAGAGCTCTATACCATGTGAGAACAATAGTTTGAAGAGAAGTTGATGATTGAATTGAGGAGATTGGGGGTTTACATAGGGAGTGGGTTGGATCCTAGCCTAGGTGAGCATTATTGGACCCCAACCAAGAAGTTGGGTTGGGGGATTATTGGTGGGGTCCAATAATGTTGGCCAAGTTGGAGTTGGGCCAACATTATTGGAGTGAACCAATAATTCTACCCAACCCAACCTTTGGGGTCCAATAATTGGACCAAGGTTGGGTTTCCAACCTACAAACTGGGTGACCCTTGTTTGTACACCCAAACTGAGTTTGGGTGCTTAACTCTAGCCTAACCTATAACATCTATGCAGGTTACACAAGAAGATAGATTCTAACATGGGGGAAAAGAAGGAAATCGTTGGGAGAAAGAGGGAGGGCACAGGGTGCACATGTGGAAACTGAAGGCAGCTTGAGGGAAGCACAAGCAGACAGACTGATTATTCTCCGAAAAGAGGCCATGGGGGGAACAGGGGATGAGTGGAGGCACTGCCACGAGTGCGAGGGGTAGTGTGAGGGGTAGTGTGAGGGGTAGTGTGAGGGTTAGTGTGAGGGGTAGTGTGATTCAGGAGAGTCAGAAGAGTATTGCTGGAAGAAAGGAGAGAGACGCATGATCTAGCAGCTCCCAGACTCATCACTCACTTGTACTACTCTTTTTTGAGAATTCGCACAAGAGAATACACTTTTCGGGTATTTGGAAAGGTAGTGTGTTTTGACATCCTCTTTATAATCCACGCACTCACCCTGTCCACTTTAGAAGCAACCTCGTTAGCGAGGGAGAGGTAGCGCTGCACTGCAGCAATCAGATTGGCATCGGCCGCTGCCGTGTGCTGCTGGCTGTGGTCGCGCAGAGGGTCCACCACACACTGATGGGGGGAGAAAAAGGGGGGAGAACGAGGGGGGAGGAAGGGGAGGAGGAAGGAAAGGCAGCAGGGAAGCAGATCAATCCAGTCTGTTGCTGCCGTGTGCTGCTGGCTGTGGTCGCGCAGAGGGTCCACCACACACTGATGGGGGGGGAGGGAGGGGAAAAAGGGGGGAGCGAGGGGAAAAGGGGGGGAGGGAGGGGAAAAGGGGGGGAGGGGGCGGGGAGGGAAGGGGGAAGAAACGGTAGCAAGACAATATCATTGGCAGCTGCCGTGTGCTGCTGGCTGTGGTCTCGTAGAGGGTCCACCACACACTGATGGGGGGGTGAGAGAGAGGAGCAGGGGGGAGGGGGGTGGGGTGGAGGAGGAAGGAAAGGTAGCAACACAGCAAAGCAATCTCGTCAGCAGCTGCCATGTGCCGCTGACTCTGGTCGCGCAGAGAGTCCACCACACACTGATGGGGGGAGAGGGAAGGGGAGGGGGAGGGGGGAGA